TTTTGTGTTTACGAGCCAAAGTTCTAGCACACGAAAGTCGAAGTATATACTTTATTCGATACAAACTCTTTTTTTTTGAGGATCCGCTGTGATAATGAGAAAGATTTTTGCATATCCGCCCAAATCGATCGATAATATCAGAATCTGATGAATCGGCCCGGACCGGCTTACTAATGGGATGCCCCGATACGTTACAAAATTTTGCTTTAGCCAATGATCCAATCAGAGGAATAATTGGGACGATGGTTTCGAACTTCTTACTAGCAATATCTATTAGATATGAATTTTCTAGCATTTGACTCCTTACCAGTGAAGGATTTAGTCGTACACTTGAAAGATAACCCAGAAAATCGAGGGAATGATTGGATAATTGGTTTATATGGATCCTGCCGGGTTGAGACCACAAGTAAAAATGACATTGCCAGAAATTTACAAGGTGATATTTCCATTTATTCATCAAAAGAGGAGTCCCTTTTGAAGCCAGTATGGATTTTCCTTGATATCTAACATAATGCATGAAAGGATCCTTGACCAACCATAGGATGGTTTGAAAATCATTACGAAACACTACTCCAAAATGTTCTATTTTTCCATAGAAATGGGTTCGCTCAAGAAGGGCTCCAGAAGATGTTGATCGTAAATGAAAAGATTGTTTACGAAGAAACACGAATATAGATTCGCATTCACATACATGAGAATTATATAGGAACAAGAAGAATCTTTGATTCCCTTTTTTCAAAAGGGAACTAGATTTCTTTGGAGTAATAAGACTATTCCAATTACGATACTCGTGGAGAAAAAATCGCAATAAATGCAAAGAAGGGGTATCCTTTACCCAGCAACGAAGAGTTTGAACCAAGATTTCTGAATGAATGGGGTAAGGTATTAGTAGATCTAACACATAATTTAAACGTGATAATTTGTCCTCTAAAAAAGAAAATATTGAATGAATTGATCGTAAATTATGAGATTTTGTTATTTCTTTCCCTTTGAGGGAAGAAACTAATCGCAGCGAGAATGGAATTTCCACAATGACTGCAAACCCCTCTAATATCATTTGAGAATAAAAATTCTTGTTGTATCCAACACATTGAGTTTGATTAGAATCATTAGCCAAAAAAATCAAATGATTCCGTTGATACATTCGAGTAATGACCCGTTTCACAATTAGTGAACTGGATTTATTGTCATAACCTAAATTTTCCGCGGGTTCATAAAAAACGGATCTATTTAAACCATGATCGTGAGCAAATACATAAATATACTCCTGAAAGAGAAGTGGATATAGAAAGTCTTGTTGCCGAGATCTATCTATTTCTAAATATCTTTGTAATTCCTCCATTCATTTGAAATTCTATTTGAACCAAAGGTAGGAGATTTCTTGGTTATCAAATGATACATAGTGCGATACAGTCAAAACAAGGTATACAGTAAGAAAGGAATAGATACCTCGGGGACAGGTAGGCTAATCAACGGATCCTCTATCCTCTCTTTTTTCATCCAATTAAAATCGATTTGTGTTCGTTCGTTATAGGATAACGAGATAGTTAGAAATCCTTTATTTTTGCAACCCGATCGCTCTTTTGACTTTGGAAAAGAAAAAAAATTATCTTTATCAATATACCGTTTCTTCTACACATTCGTCTTCACTCTATAATGGAATGGAGAAAAAAATAATTAGGATTCATTAAAAAAATCGATAATCCACTCATAGGAGAACCCTTTCCCGCATCAGGCACTAATCTATTTTTAACGTCTAATTAGATCGGGTAATCATTCGAATTAAGAACAGAAGCTCGTTGCTTTTTGTTTCTCTATAATTGGAGCCATAGGGCTCTATCCATTTATTCACTCGACCCAACTTTGTTTGAATTTTGTGTCGCGCTCAAAAATTCAAATAAGATTTTGTACCAATCCAGTAAGGATGAAGTATTCTCAGAGTTCTCCATTGATACGACATGCTGTTTTTTCCATTCATTCCCTTTCAGGATCAGTCGCGGTCTTACAAACTCTACCAATGGTATGGACGAATTCGTTGCTTCATCCAAATGTGTAAAAGATCCTAGCCGCACTTAAAAGCCGAGTACTCTACCGTTGAGTTAGCAACCCCAAAAATTAAGGTGTGTAGATACGATCGGAATCAAAAAAAGATTGGATTGCACGGTTCCACCAAAGCATTGAACTAACAACAAAAACAAATCAAAAAAATTTATGATCGATTACGAACATAAAAAAAAGGAACAAATAAAATACAAGAAATTCCCAGAAATTGCCAGAAAAATATAGATATAAAAATTGATAGACCCCCCTTTTTCTTTTTTCTTATCAATTTTTTCATTCAGAAAAAACTTCTTGTGTCATAACGAATCCAACAAACCTATCATTTGAATGATCTAAAGTAAAAAACCAAACTTATGGGACGGATAAATAGATCTATTTATCCACGATCGAATTATATTTGTTCGATACACTATTGTCAATATGAATGTTGAGAAAAGAATACAATTGAAAAAATAAATAAATAAATAAAGACTTGTATTGGATTAGCACTCCATAGAAAATTTACATAAATAGAAAAAAGTATGGATGAGGGGAATAAATAAGAAAGAAATAGGAAATAGGAAAAAATCTCGGAGTTATTCAATAGAGGTACAATAAGCAAGCTTGACCCTTGTTTGTTGGTGGAGTCCCAACAAAAACCACCCGATTGAGATAATCCCATAATTTTTTATTTATAGATTCAGTTATTTCAGCTATTCACTCGATCTTCTATCCCCGTCTCATATTCATATTAATAGAAGAGGTTTTTGTCGTTATATAATATAAATAGAATAGAATATGTAAATATAATAATAGAAGAATATGTAAATATGTAATATGAATATGGGATCATATGGAAACAATAGGAAATAGATATGAATAGAGCAAGAAAAAAGGGGAATAGTGGATAAAATATTATCCAAAGCTAGATTTAGATATAGGTCACCCCTTCTTTCTTTTTTTTTTCATTACATTAATTTTATTTCGTTTGATTAACGCGAAGTTCTTTAAATACCTCTGCCTTCTTTGAAATATCATGAACTGTTCCTGTAGGTTGAGCGCCTTTTTCAAGGAAATATAGAATAGCGGGAACATTTAAATAAGTTTGATTCTTTATCGGATCGTAAAAACCCACTTTCCGAAGATCTCTTCCTTCTCTTCGGGATCGAACATCAATTGCAACGATTCGATAGATGGCTCATTGGGATAGATGTAGATGAACAATGCCCCCCCTAGAAACGTATAGGAGGTTTTCCCCTCGTACGGCTCGAGAAAGAATGATTCGAATTTATGTATTGTATTGGCAAACAGATTCATAAAATCATCAAATCAATTAGACTATTATGATTTGAGTCGTTTTTTTGTTCTGTTCTTCCTTCGCGAAAAATAAAAAAAGAAAACCATTCGTACTCATAACTCAAGTTGGATAATTCTCAAAAAGCTCAAAGGAAAATCCTTAGGCACTTCATTTTTTGAGCTGTCTCTAACCCCTTTTGTTTGTCTCGTTTAGAATCCATTTTTATTCTTCATTCTAATCCAGTTGTTAAGACAATTAAAATGGTGTTTCCTTGTTCCGGGATCCTTTATCTTTGCTTTGAATCATTGGGTTTAGACATTACTTCGGTGATCTTTAATCGTTTCAAAATGGCAGCAACATACCTTTTGTGATTTCTTTCTATCGAAGAATCATACGAATAATTGATTCCCGCGTGATACACTTTTGATCGAAATGGTTTTACCAATTCCAACAAATTTTCCTTTTGAATTTGAAACTTGTTCGGATTGGATCCTTTCGGTTTCTATATCGAAGATATACTTACGAAGTTGTTCCAACTTATTGATTGGCACTAACCATAGATCCTTGCCCCTGAGAAATGAATCAATACTTACTTTCTGCTCGAGCTCCATCATGTACTATTTACAACCCCCCAAAATCGGGATTCTAGTGGAACAGAACAAACTATGTCGAGCCAAGAGCACCTTCATTCCTATATAAAATGGTGGATGTAAGAATCCACAGCCGATTATGTCCTTCAAGTCGCACGTTGCTTTCTACCACATCGTTTCAAACGAAGCTTTACCATAACATTCCTCTAATTTGAAATTTGAAACCAGTATGAATTGATTCAATATGGAATCATGAATAGTCATTGGCTCAATCGGTACATAGTACATAGTAATCTATACTTTTAATTTTTCTATTCTATATAGATGGGTAGGTATAGGTTTGTATTTACCTGGAGAAATTTCAGCAAGAATTCAATTTAACCCCATATCATATTTTATCTTATCGTATGATATGAATAAAACCATTTTTTTTTTAAAGAACACAAATAAATGAAGAACACAAATAAATTCGTTTTTTTAATATTCATCGTCAACAGATTGTTCGAGACGATCACTCATGAAAGATCCAATTCTTTTTTGAACAACTAAATTTTTAATTAATATTAATTAAAAACGAAATTCGAAATTAAAGAAGGGTCCTTAATTAGATTTCGATTTCCAATACGGGACAGAATGAATATAAGTCATTAATCAAATAAGCTAGTCCAACGATCCGGAAAGGCCGGAAAAGAAATGATTCGATAGAATAGATTCACTAATTTCACACCTCTTTAAGTACCAAAGAATTCAATTCATAAGAATCATTACAAACGTTTAATTAAACATAAATTCCTACTTTGACAGACATCATTATTTAAATAAGAATAAGGTTTTCCAGTAAAGACAGAAATTTATCTCTAAATTAATCAACAAATCGTCACAATCATAACGAGTAGCTAAAAATTGGAGTATATATCTCATTAATTAATGAAATGAGACACGAATTTTATCATCATAAGAGAAAGAAATCCATGTTTTGTTTCCAATAAAATCATCAATGATTTAAACTAGATAGAAAAATCGAGAACCAAATCCAATTTCTTTTTTTTCGTGGGGTGAATAGAAATGAAATTGAAATAGAGAAGGCTCATGTAAGAAAAAGAGTTAGGATTTAGGCCGTTATTCTTTCATCTGATTGAGAAAATAAGAACCGGAAGAATATGAGCTTTCTGTATCCATCAGATCGACCGAACAATTGTCACTGGAAGTAGTCGCGGATATTTTTCTTTTTTAAGGGATCACAGATCTTTTTCGACAAAACTGAAATGACGTTGTCTTGTCACTGAAAGAGAACAATACGGATAGACATGGTTTTTTTCTACGTGTTTTGTTTTACTTCAGGTTCAGTAATCTTTCCATAAATTCTCTACCATCAAAATTGAAGTAAAATGACTGGAATGTATAAATCCCCCCCCCCACCTCAATCGCTACATTGATTTACAATTATTCATTGGAGTAGAGAAAGACGCAAAATACAAACAAATTAGGTCCAAAGAAAATACATCTGTTACATATTGAACTTGATTCTTTGTTAATGAGATTCGGACAGACATTTTAAATGGATACCTTCCATTGCTGATTAACTCCTATCTACTCCAAAATTTTCTGTAAATCCTGAATCATAAATGAAAAAAGGGGATCCTCTTACTCTTATGGGATGCTAGATTATCTTGTCTAGGTACAAAGCAAAACGGGTCCAGATCAAGTCGTTTTTCCTATTTTTTTTACCCCAACCCAGTCTTAGGAGTCTTATCTTAATCCCAGTGCTGGAATTAAATTAGTACTAAGAGCTCCCCCCCTGTTTATAATTCAGGATCTACAGAGAATTAGTAATTGGGCAACTCTATGTTACTTTAGTTACTTTAGGGTAGGGAATATAGAGGCCATTCTTTCATATTTCGACTCAGAATGCATCATTGAAAATTCAAATAGATATGGGACGTAAAGTTTCTCTAAGTACCTAACTTCAATATGAGCGATACGGGCATATACTGAAGCACCCATTCGATTTTTTTGAATTTCACTATTGTGATCTATGTTCCCATCCTCCCTCCTACCTGGATCACAAAAAAATTCAGTTAAATCCACGCGTCATTTAAACTCGATTCAGTTTGTGAGAAAGAAAAGATATAATTCAGAGAAAAATCATTAGAAATCAGAAATAAGGATCACATTGTATCCAACATTACACTCTTAAGCAGAAGATTGTTAAAGAGAACAATCTTTATTCTGATCGAATCGGTCCGCTCTGGGGCGGAAGGATTCGAACCTCCGAATAGCGGGACCAAAACCCGTTGCCTTACCGCTTGGCCACGCCCCATTTCGATTTCTATTCGACACTAATAAAGACTAATATCGGTCTTGGTTGTTCGTCAATTCGAGTCTAAATATCTATGGAATCTATTAGATTGTTGTTAGGATTTGCCACGTGTAGATGTAGAATTAAACTGAATTTATTGATCATTATATATAATTCAATTAAGATATTGTATGAAAGTATGATTCCTTCTATTCTCATTTAAGAATGGAAGGAGTTTTGATTGGGCGAGTTCAAAGAAAAAGAAGAATTTTTTCTTACTTTCTTCATTTTTCTCCTTATATCAATAACTCAATCAAAATGCAATTATTTCCAAGAACGAAATGTTTGTTATGCTTAATATCTTTAGTTTGATCTGTATCTGTCTTAATTCTGCCTTTCATTCGAGTAGTTTTTTCTTTGCCAAATTGCCCGAGGCTTACGCTATTTTCAATCCAATCGTAGATGTTATGCCAGTCATACCTGTGCTCTTTTTTCTCTTAGCCCTTGTTTGGCAAGCTGCTGTAAGTTTTCGATGAGATCTCTTTAATACTATCCTACAAACATTCATGATTTTTTCGATAAAAAAGATTTTAACAATTGATCAGATAAGTCTTACATTATGGACCCTTGATTTAAACATTGAAATTCTTGGATAGCCGCGATAAATCTAGATTACCTTATTTCCTCATTCTGACCTTCTATTTCCAGTGAATAAGGACCCTATAAGGGTCCCCCACAATATCTAATTGTAATTGTTTGTGGGTATGAAAGATATTTTTGGTAACGAAAGAATCTTATTACAAATGAATTTCTGCAAATTCCTTTCTTTTCTAGAAACCACTTTATTTCTTGGTGTCAAAATAGGATATGTGGTATAAAAATTGATAATCTATTCCCTTTTCCCCCAAAAATGATCTTGGAGATTGTGTAATGCTTACTCTCAAACTCTTCGTTTACACGGTAGTGATATTCTTTGTTTCTCTCTTCATCTTCGGATTCCTATCTAATGATCCAGGACGTAATCCTGGACGTGAGGAATAAAAAAAATAAGGGGTTTCTCATTTTCCTTACTTAATTTATTATTTTATTTATTTCTGAATTTTCTTATGATTTTATCTATTCCACACATTTAACTATGATAAAAGATAAAAGAGGCTCGAGATTTTTTTAGAATTCGAAAGAAAAATCTCAAGTCATCAGAGGAAACGGAAAGAGAGGGATTCGAACCCTCGGTACAAAAACTCGTACAACGGATTAGCAATCCGCCGCTTTAG